TCATGGCTCACCTTGCCCTGTCTTCAGCATCTGTTTCAAGGGTGCTCCTCCCATGAAGATGGGCGTCAACTAACAGAAGAAGGCAGGGTGGATTTTCAGGGGATCCGTGCACCGGGTGTCTTTTGATGGGGAGGGGGTGCTCAGAAGGGATTTGCACTTGTTGGAGGAGGAAGTTCCCTTCAATTTCTGCCAAGGTGATGTGAGTTGAGATAGGACCATAGGGTGACAGATAAGGGCACTGATAAGGTAGCATGGTGGCCGAGAGACCCCCAAAGCTCAGACCATGCAATTATGGGGGACGGATGGCTGAGAACACTGGCTCTGGCTCTCTCCACTAGCAGTGCCTCCTGAGCCCCAGCCACACATGGCCGCAGCCCTCAGCCCCGCACCACTGCCAGTGGTTTCCTTCCACCCTAACACCTGTCCTACCCTTCTCTGCTTGGCATTTTTAAAAAAGGTATTGTTAGTTGAGGTTAAAATTCATGTACAATGTCATACAATACAATGGTTTTTGACATATGTATCCTCATGTAACCAAACCCCAACAAGATATAGAAGAACATTCACATCTCCCAGAAAGTTTTCCCAAACCATATAGGCAATCACTGATGATGTTTATCCTGATTTCGAAGAGGGACGGCAGGTCAGAGGACTTTAGGAAGCAGCACCTCTGAGACAGCCTGCAGAGTCCAGAGGACTTTAGGAAGCAGCACCTCTGAGACAGCCTGCAGAGTCCAGAGGCTCAGGTTCTGGCTCAGATCGCCTTTCCATGCCTCCTCTGTAGCATGCAGACCACAGGGTTGTACCTTCCTCTGGGAGCTATAGCAAGATGAGGCTTGTAAAATTCATAACAGGTGCCTGGCACTTAGGAAGGGCTCAGCCTTCGTTTTTAGCATTACATGTTGAGGGAGCACAGAAGTGGGTGCCAGGGGCTTAAGAGAAGATCTTGACAAACTGCAGAGGGAAATGCATCCACTGTCTCCTCCCATTCTGCAAGGACAATGATCGAACTAGCTAACATTTGTTGGGGGCTTCATAGAAAAAGGGCACTAAGTGCTCTTTATAAATATTTCTTTTAAAGTGTCACAACTCTGACAATAAGTGATTGGAGCACAGAGAGATAGCAACTTGTCAACCATCACCTAAGTAGCCTGTAGCCCAGTTGGCTTCTGTCCCAGGAGACCTGGCCTCACAAACCTGACTTTTTGCCATTGGCTTATACTGGGGGACATTTCTTTAAAGTATGACCCAAATCAGAGTGGCTTGAAATAAGACATGGATTATCCAGGAAATATATCAACATATAAGAGAATAGATTCTCTACGTCAAAATATTCTTAACAATCAGAGGTCTGAACTTGGTTCTTTTAAGTAACAAGGGAAAGAAAGAAAATCAGGGAAGAGATTTGTAGCCAAGCAATCAGCTGGAACAAATCTTTCTTCACAAATGGGGTTTATACTTAAGGAGAAGAATAGTACACATGCTGAATAGCCACATTTAGGATTAATCAGAGACAAAGTGTTCCTTGAGCATGACATTCAGGGTACTTGTCTCACATTTGCATTAAAAAAAATAGGATCAGGTTTTGCTAAGAGCAGATGACAATTGCTGTCTATGAAGTCTTAGATAGGGCAGCTTTATTCCTGAATATTCTCATTCGAGATTTAGGATGCACGGCTGTGGGGAGCAACAGGCAGGTGGTACTCTGGTGTTTCAAGTCTCTGCCCCATTCAAGGGGCCTCCCAAGAAGCTTGACAGGTGCCAGCTGTTTCCTGCTTTCTGAAATGGGGATTTTCTTACCTGCGCTTGGGTAAATGTTTTCTCCCAGGATCTGGGGTCGGGGTCTTTATACACCCTGGGAATCTTGATGCTGGACGCATACCCGTTAGGACTTGCCATAAGACTTCGGGAGTCATGTGTCCTCACAGGTTCCCCCCAGATGTATCAGTTTATAATTAAAGGCCTTTTTCCCCCTTATTTATATTTCTTTGAGTTTGATCTCTTGGACTCTCAATGACCTTGTCATGTCCATGAAAATAACAATAGTGAGCTCAACAGAATGACAGCAGGGAGTAAGTGATGTGGCTTAAGTGCATCTCTAGCAAAGGGCCTGGCATGGGAGAGACTCTCAGCTCCTAGGGGTTCTTCCTCCTTAGCATTTCTGTTTGTATGAAGCACAAGAGAAGCTTCCTTTGTTTCTTTTTACTCCCTTGCTGAACCGCAATACCAGTTTCCTGGGGGTTTCCTACCCACTGGTAGCTTTCTACCTTCTCCTAGTATCATGTTTCTCTTCTAGTCCTCTAAGCAATAAACTTGCTACAGGATAAAATTTGCAAGGAGTAGATTTCCAGTAATCACCATAATGCTAGTTATTACTGTGAATGACAAATCAAATATAATATGATAGTCACCATTTGTTCCATGTCTGCCAGATGCCAGGTACTATTAAATGCTAGAGCTCTGGAATTCAGATGATAATTAATAAGCATCTATCCAATAAATGAAGTGACTCTTTACCCTCACAACTACTGTGCATAGATGTTCCACCCCACCCACCCAGTTTACAGATTAGGAAGACAGAGACTCATGAAGGATAAATGACTTCCAAGTGAGGAATATTGCAGAGTTAGCATTTAAAACCTGGCCCATCCACATTCAGATCTTTTAAGGAAGCCAGACCACAAAACCCCCAATTTCCCCAGACCCTGGAAAAGGTCTGCTCTTGAAAGGGTTTGCCTTGACTTGTAATTTATTTGCAGATCTCAGCCTGTGGGATTGATTCTGAATTTATGATGCATGCTCAGGTCTTTCGTGACTTGTGCTCCTGGAATTTCATTAGGCTGACCTGTAATTGTTGTGGTAAATGTTTACACATCAATAAATTATTATTAGGCAAGTGGGGCAAGGTCAACTTTTATCTTTTAAGGCACCGGGAACAGACTTTGGAGATTTCCCAGCAGACAAAAGGGGCTGGGATCTGATTAATTATGGACTGTGTTGGTGCCATGTCGACAACACTATTTCTTATTGTTAATTTTGAAGCCCCAAATGGGTCATCGTTTCTGAACATAAAAAATTATCACCCTTTTACTGATTGTTTTGTAAGTGATTCAATTTTAAATCATTAATGACTGTTGGTAGCTGATCTTTTTACTCAGGAAGCAAAGCCCGAGATACCACTGGGGTCTCAGGCTGAAATTTTACTGTATTTCCTACAATCTGTTTAAACTAATACCTTTATTGCCAACTCATGGCATCATATACTAATTATTAGAAAATGGATTGCAATAGTAACATTAAAGAAGTACTTATGAATGAAAAAGAATTAACATAATTACACATCTACTATATGTTAGGCACTTTTATATTCAGAGTTTAAGTTATTCTAGGATAACGTGAAGGATATTGAGTCTAGGATAATGTGAAGTAAGGTTTATGAGGCTACAAACCTAGTTCTTTCTGCTACACATTTAGGATTAACACCATGAGTCCTCTTTCCAGGTTCTGAGGACTGGGCTGAAAGGTGAAAAAAGTAGTTGTATTTGTGTTGAGTTTGGGATCAACCTGTCAGCTTATACAACACCCTTGGTGGTAGCAAAATTACCAGAAGTGATACAGCATGACCTCAACCCCGATACAACTTTCCTCCATTTTGGGAACATAGGAAAGAGCTGTATGAGCTTTGTAACTTCCGGAAACACTCAAGCGTTATCCCCCCAATATTAACCTGTTCAAATTTCCATTTTTTTTCTAACCCCTTACTTATTTTCATTTCTAATCTGAAACTTTCTGTAGGTCAAGTACTATCTCTTTTTTTAACTCTGAAACCTTAGTAGATAGCATAGCAGCTGACAGATAGTACGTGTATTAGGGTTCTCCAGAGAAACAAAACCAATTGTTTGGATGGATAGAAAAACATTTTTTTTTTTTTTTTTTTTTT